TTTGCAACTTGATCTGACAACAGGAATTTAGGATCCAAGTACTTATTGACATTGTGGATAACAATAAGTACTTTAGGTGATCTTGGTGGGGCAGCTTGGAGTTGGATGTTAGCATATTTATGAGTAAGAAGTTTTTCTATGAATGTTGGGTCGTTAGTAACAAAAACGTAATTATCCTCGTCATGACGAAAGCGAATCCGAAGGTTTTCCTCTGGGTTGTCTAGTGTATCTTCGTAAAACCATCTAAACTTGACCTCAAACTCAGTGTTAGCAGGGAAATCAAGCCTAACCGTTCTGCGATGGTTGTTGTTTCTCTCGTTGTTTCTTGCAGCCTCCTTTGAAATCCTCTTTCTTTTTTCAAAAGCTCCCTTACTTCTATAACGTTCGAATTCGCCTTCACCATCATTTACTTCGTTCACATCCAAAGGTCACTTCTAGTTCAGCTGCTTAAGGTGGAAGAGGTAGTCTGTTACTCTTGGGTCAGCGAAACCGCCTTTATTCCATAAGAGAGAAGGGACAAGGAAGGGATATTCACTTCGCTAGACACAGGCAATATGGGTGTAGTGGCCTGTGGGTCACAGTGCCATTTTCAAGGTCATTCACTGGGCCCACAGTCGTCTCGAGAGCTACCAACACTGTACTACTCGTTAATTACTACAAACCCGCAGCACTCAACACATCTAGCACACCTGTCTTGGAATGACAGACAAATTTTCACTCTGTGGACAAACAAATCAGCACAAACTTACTATGTTTATAGATGAACCTCGGGCATGTTACAGTTAAAAAGCCGTCTCCAAAGGAGTTACCAGGTACTGCAATGCTCGTTAAATTGTTCTTAACCACTCTTGTTGTGTTCCAACTATGCAGCATTCCTCCCAGAAACACTCAGTGCATAGAAGAATAACAGGTCATCTTCCTCAGTTAGAGATGTAACACATTTTGTACAAGCTGCACAGTCAGGTCTGGATCACCAACTCACGCAGGATGGGAGATTCGTCCGTATTTCTCAGGTAGGCAGAGGTCGACTTCCCTTAACCTCTCCTCATAGGACATACCTCTGGGACTAGTCTTGTTGCAAATCTTTGCACTTTCTCTAGTTTCTTTGCGTGCTTGGCTAGGTGTGGGTTCCAAACTGGTGCCGCATACTCCAATATGGGCCTAACGTACACGGTGTACAGGGTCCTGAACGATTCCTTATTAAGATGTCGGAATGCTGTTCTGAGGTTTGCTAGGCGCCCATATGCCGCAGCAGTTATTTGGTTGATGTGCGCTTCAGGAGATGTGCCTGGTGTTATACTCACCCCAAGATCTTTTTCCTTGAGTGAGGTTTGTAGTCTTTGGCCCCCTGGACTGTACTCCGTCTGCAGTCTTCTTTCCCCTTCCCCAATCTTCATGACTTTGCACTTGGTGGGGTTGAGCTCCAGGAGCCAATTGCTGGACCAGGTCTGCAGCCTGTCCAGATCCCTTTGTAGTTCTGCCTGGTCTTCGTCCGAATGAATTCTTCTCATAAATTTCACGTCATCTGAAAACAGGGACACTTGGGAGTCTATTCCTTTCCGCGTCTTTCACAATACCAAAACGCACGGTCCTAGGACTGCCCCTTTGGAGCCCCACTCTCACAGGTTCCCACTGTGACCCCTCGCCACGTACCATGACTTGCGCGTCTTCCGACAAATTCCCTGATCCATTGAGTCCTTTCCCTGTTACCCTGCTTGGTCCTCCAGTTTTTGCACTAATCCTTTTTTGGGAACGTGTCAAACGCCTTCCATCCAAGAAAATGCAATCTACCCACTTCCTTTTCTTTTTCGTCTGCTGTCACCATGTCTGAACCCAGTGGGTTTTGGGGACACAGGTTTTCCCCGCCCTGTAACCATTTGGTGCTGTTGATGAATCTCCTTTCAGGTGTTCCAACCACTTTTTCCCCTTTAAAAATTCTCCATGATTTGCATACTAAATGTCAGGACCTTTTTTTAGTTTAGTGCTTCATGTTGTCTCCTTTTCTAAAGATTAGAACACTTTTTGCTGTCTTCCACCTCAGGAAATCCCTGTTTCGATAGATGTGTTAAATATTGTTGTTGGGGGGGCGCATAAGCATGACTGCCCTTCTCTAGGCCCCTGGGGAGATGTTTTTCCCCCCTTTCCCTTTTTGAGATCTAGCTCCCCCAAAACCCTCTCACTTTTTTTCCGGTGTGTGTATTGTGCCCACCCCTTGGGCTGTGCCCGTCTTTCGGAGTCCCTCTGTCCCCTCTCTGAACATTTTCTTTTCCGTTGGCCTCACATATTTTCGCAGCCATTTTTTTTGTCTCTCCTCTTCCTTTGTTAGCCGATTCCTGGTCCTTGACTTTTTTTTTTCCTCTGTGGGGCTGTATAACACTTCGGGTCGATTTGACTTTCGCGCTATTCATTTTCATATTTCGATGGGCCCCCCTTTTTTACCTGTGCACATTCTTTTCGGCTCTACGACGTCTCCTTATTCTCCGGCCCCTTTGCCTCTGTATTTTCCATTTCCAAGCACACTTGGTTTTGCCCCCCTGCACCTTGGGTGAACATAGCCATCCGGCTTTTTTTTAATTCCTGTTACCCTTGGGGTAAAACCTCTCCCCCCTTCCTTGCGCATTTTTGCTATATACCCATCTTCCTTTTTACGGGTTCCCCTGCAAGTTCTCTTCCTACTTAACCCCCTTTAAAAAGTTCCCCATTCCCGCGTAGTCCCCCCTTTTTGTAGTTTGGGGTTCATTTGCCCTGGCCCTTCCCGCTTCCCCCCCCACTTGTAACTCTGCGGTATTCGAAGCCTAAACCCCAAAAGATGCTTGCCCCAAGGGGTCCCTTTTATATGTATTCCCCAATATCTTGCTACTCAAATGATACAGGTCCTTCTCGGGTTCACCTTTTTTCTCTTCTGGGAGGTCCCCTTTCGTGTTGGTACATAAGTTTTCCAGTACCACCTCCTTTTTTTAGCCCCCCATGTATTTGGCCCCCCATTTTCTCCAATTTTCCCAATCGATTTCCTTGTGGGTTTAAAATCACCAAAGATCATGCCTTGCCTTCATGCATGGCCCTTTTGGCCCCCGCAGCCCGTGTGTCAACCATCCTCATTGCTCTCATAAATTTCCCTTGGCCTCCGCGTTGGGGTGTGTTAACATCACTGCAATTACCACCCTTTGGGGCCTCCAGGCTGAGCGTTCCATTTGTAAACTCTTGCTTTTCCATGTCTTCCCTCTCCCCCTCATCAAAATTCCCTCTTTTTGATCACAGTGCCAATCCTCCACCCCACTGTTCCCTCTGTCTTTCCTCGGGATCTGATTCCTTGGAAAGATGGCATCGTTTCAACCTGTGAGCTTTTGGTTTTTTGTGAGAGCTAGATCCGGTACGCCCCTTTTACTCTTTCATGCCACTCCCCCACTTTCTTTTTATTCCATCAGCGTTTTTGACCAAAACCCCATTTTTCCCCTCCAACACTGTGTTTTGAGGGGGTCTGTGAGGAGGGAGACCTGGTAGTGTATTTGGGACAACTGGATGTTGGGGGGAAACTGTGGTATGGAGAAGTTTTTGTTGGGGTGGTGTGATAGATTTGGAGTTCTGGGGAGGTTTGCTATTTTTGACCATGACTCCCCACGCATTTCGTAATTGGGCCCCTTTTTAGCCGCTCTTTTATTCTTTTCCGCGCCTGAAAGGGAGGCCGCTCTTTCATTTACACTACTCCTCCTTTTTTTTTAAAGGGAAAATCCTTTAGCATACATCGGTGCCACCGAGTTAATCTGTTTTAGGGATAAGAGGGTCGTTTTTTCTTTGTTAAACTTTCCCCGTTTGGCCACGCAGCCAGTGGCAAACCACGCTCATTGCTCTCATATAAACCCTTTCCTTCCCCCGCGTTCTGTGGTGTGTTATACATCACTGCAATTACCACCTTGGGACCTCCAGACTGAAGCGTTCCTATTATGTAATCTCTTGCTTCTCCACTGTCTCCTCTCTCCAGCTCATCAAAATTCCATCAGTTTTTGATCAGCAGTGCCACTCCTCCACCCAACTGTTCCCTCTGTCTTTCCTCAGGATCTGATATCTCGTTGGAAAGATGGCATCTGTTATCATACCTGTGAGCTTGGTTTCTGTGAGAGCTATGACGTCCGGTGACGCCTCTTTGACTCTTTCATGCCACTCCTCCCACTTATTTGTTATTCCATCAGCGTTTGTGAACCATACCTTCCGTTTCCTCTCCAACACTGTGTTTTGAGGGGGTCTATGAGGGTGGGAGACCTGGTAGTGTACTGTGGGATTCTATAGCTGAGTGTTGGGTGGGAGCTGTGAGTATGGACTGAAGTTTGTGTTGGGATGGTGTGATAGATTGTGGAGTTCTGGGGATGGTTCTGTGTGTGCTTGCTCTTGTTGCTCTGCTCTGGTTGACCTCTGCTGAGACGAATGTTCCTTCCTCAGCCAATTGTCATGACGCTCATTGCCTTTGTTACTTTGTCCACTCTCATGACCTTCGTGTTCCTTCTAAGTATAGGTTGGTCTCAGACGTTAGTAGAGGCCCGTTATTTTATCAGCTCCCCTGCCTACTCCGTCCGTTTTCTCTTCGTCTTCAAGGAACTCCTGGGTTCCTGCGTCACACTCCTCCTTACTTGTCAAGGAACTTCTGGGTTCCTGCATCAGATTCCTTCTTACTTGTCAAGGAACTTCTGGGTTCCTACGTCACAATCCTTCTTACTTGTCAAGGAACTCCTGGGTTCCTGCCTCACAGTCCTCATTTGTCAAGGAACTCCTGGGTTACTACGTCAAACTCCTTACTTGTCAAGGAGCTACTGCGTTCCTGCGTCACACTCCTCCTTACTTGTCAAGGATCTCCTAGGTTTCTGTGTCACAATCCTTCTTACCTGTTAAGGAACTTCTGGGTTCCTGTGTCACAACTCTCCTTACCTGTCAAGGAACTCCAGTGTTTCTACGTCACAGTACCCTTACCTCTAAGAAGTCAGGATTCCTAAAGTCACGATCTTCCTTACCTATCAAGGAACTCCAGTGCACCTGCTGAGGAACCCATGTACGCCACACGTCCTTCAGCCAGCAGTAAGAGCTTGTCGAACATAGCAAAGACCTCAGAGGAAGGCTGGTGTATAGTACATAGGATGGTCCTGCCACGACTAGTCATGTCCTTCATGATCCGGACCAGCTTCCTGGCGTTGAAGGAGTCGAGTCCTGTAGTAGGCTCATCACAGAAGAGCAGCGGAGGATCCGTCAGGATCTGAAGTGGAAAGAGCTTTAATAGTTCTTCTAAGACGACAGAGCTTCATTAACAATTTCCTAGACTGCAGACAGAGCATTAATTGTTCCGTCTAAAGTCTAAACAAAGCTAAATCAGTCTCATTTTGATCACAAGCACAGATTTTAAACCCAGACAATTGGTAAGTCACACATTATAGTCAAACAGTTGGTGCCCCGTGGCCTGGCAGGTAAAGCTCTCGCTTCACATGGCGATGGTCTAGGTTCGATTCCCACCGAGGGTAGTAGCAGTAGTAGTAGCAGTAACAGCAGCAGTAGTGATACTAGAAGTAGCAGTAGTAGTAGTAGTAGTAGTAGTAGTAATAGCAGTAGTAGTAGTAGCATTAATAGTAGAAGTAGTAGCACTAGTAGTAATTGAAGTGGAAGTAGCAGTAGTGATAGTAGTAGTAGTAGTCATAGTAGCAGTATCACTCTGTTATTCTGACAGTCTTAAAAAAATTGTTGTTTGGTGTAAGGTCACAGTTCACAGTCAACACATTAACTGGTCCTCTGCTAAAACTGTCTATCCTTCTTCTCGCCTTTAAAGGCACCTTCTTGTTGAAGCCTCCCCTCAGTTCTGGCTTTGTTTCTGTAGGTATCTCCCTTTTTAAAAGGTAAAAAATAATAATAATAATAATAATAAAAATTTAATAAATAATAATAAAATAATAATAATAATAATAATAATAATAATATTTTTTTATTATTTTATTATTATCACACTGGCCGATTCCCACCAAGGCAGGGTGCCCCAAAAAAAGAAAAACTTTCAACCATCATTCACCCATCACTGTCTTGCCCGAAGGGTGCTTTACATTACAGTTTTAAACTGCAACATAACACCCCTCCTTCAGAGTGCAGGCACTGTAAATTCCCATCTCCCGACTCAAGTCCGGGCCCGCGGTTTCCCTGAATCCCTTCATAAATGTTACTTTGCTCACACTCAACGCACGTCAATATTAAAAACCATTTTTTCTCCATTCACTCCTATCAAACACGCCACGCATGCCCGCTGGAAGTCCAAGCCCCTCGCACACAAAACCTCCTTTACCCCCCCCCCTCCAACCTTTCCTAGGCCGACCCCTACCCCGCCTTCCTTCCACTACAGACTGGGTACACTCTTGAAGTCACTCTATTTCGCTCCATTCTCTCTACATGTCCGAACCACCTCAACAACCCTTCCTCAGCCCTCTGGACAACAGTTTTGGCAATTTCCCCCACCTCCTCATAACTTCCAAACAAAAGAATTCTCTGCAAATTTTATTCACACCACACATTTTCCCCAGACAAAGACATCTCCACTGCCTCCAGCCTCTCCTCGCTGCAACATTCATCACCCATGCTTCACACCATATAAGAGCGTTGGTAAAACTATACTCTCATACATTCCCCTCTTTGCCTCAAGGACAAAGTTCTTTGTCTCCACAGACTCCTAAGTGCACCGCTCACCCTTTTCCCCTCATCAAATTTTATGATTCACCTCATCTTTCATAGACCCATCCGCTGACACGTCCACTCCCAAATATCTGAATACATTCACCTCCTCCCTACTCTCCCCTCCAATCTGATATCCAATCTTTCATCACCTAATCTTTTTGTTATCCTCATAACCTTACTCTTTCCTGTATTCACTTTCAATTTTCTTCTTTTACATACCCTACCAAATTCATCCACCAACCTTTGCAACTTCTCTTCAGAATCACCCAAGAGCACAGTGTCATCAGCAAAGAGCAGCTGTGACAACTCCCACTTTATGTGCGATTCTTAATATTTTAACTTCACACCTCTTTCGAAGACCCTCGCACTTACTTCTCTTACAACACCATCTATAAATTTATTAAACAACCACGGTGACATCGCACATCCTTGTCTAAGGCCTACTTTTACTGGGAAATAATCTCCCTCTTTCCTAATAATAATAATAATAATTAATGCTGAGGTGGTTCGGAAATTTAGAGAGGATGGTACGAAATAGAACCGCATAGTGTATAAATCTGTAGTGGAGGGAAGGCGGGGTAGGGGACGGCCTAGGAAAGGTTAGAGGGGGGGGGGTAAAGGAGGTTTTGTGTGCGAGGGGCTTAAACTTCCAGCAAGCATGTGTGAGCGTGCTAGATAGGAGCGAGTGGAGACAAATGGTTATTAGGACTTGAGGTGCTGTTGGAGTGTGAGCAAGGTAACATTTTTGAAGGGATTCAGGTATTCTAGGTATACCTGGAGATATACCTAGAGAGGATTTTGGGGGTCAACACCCCTGCAGCCTCGTGGTGGGTCAGGGTCTGATCAACCAGGCTCCTACTGCTGGCCGCATGTAAACCGACGAATTTGCCACATCCCGGCTGATCAAGTACTGACTTTAGGTGCCTGTCCAAAGCCTTCTTGAAGACAGTCAGGGGTCCATTGCTAATCCCCCATATGTATGCTGAGAGGCAGTTGAACAGTCTTGGGTCCCTGACACTATACAGATGCGACAGAGTGAACAGGCAAAAGAGGGAGGAGGTTAGCCTGTATATCGCAGAGTCATTTGTTTGCACAGAACTGCTTAATGCCTCAAATGATGTAGTGGAAGTTTTAGCAGTAAAGATCGAGAACCAAAACCTAGTCATTGTGGTAGTCTACAAGCCTCCGGATGCAACGTCCCAGCAATTCCAGGAACAGCTGTTAAAAATTGACCACTGTCTGGAAAATCTGCCAGCTCCTGCCCCCAACATCTTGCTCCTGGGGGATTTCAACTTAAGGCACCTAAAATGGAGGAATATAGCAAATAATATTGTTGCAGTGATAACACCAGGAGGCAGTTCTTAGGAGAATTCACACACACACGAGCTTTTAAATCTCTGCACAAAATTCAACTTAAACCAGCAAATAATAGAGCCTACTAGACTGGAGAATACACTAGACCTCATCTTCACTAACAATGATGACCTGATACGAAATGTCACCATATCAAAAACAATATACTCAGATCACAACATAATCGAGGTTCAGACATGTATGCGTGGAGCCCCAGACCGACATAATGGGATCAGTCACGAGGGAGCATTCACCAAATTCAACTTCAATGATAAGAACATAAAGTGGGACCAAGTAAACCAATTCCTAACCAATATAAGCTGGGAAGATAGACTAAGCAACACAGACCCTAACTTATGCCTAGAACAGATTAACTCGGTGGCACTCGATGTATGCTCAAGGCATATTCCTTTAAGAAAAAGGAGGAGTAGATATAAAATAGAAAGAGACAGGCGCTCCCTTTACAGGCGACGAAAAAGAATAACAGAGCGGCTAAAAGAGGCCAATATATCTGAAATGCGTAGGGAGTCACTGGTCAGAGAAATAGCAAACATCGAACTTAAGCTGAAGGAATCTTATAGGAGTCAGGAATTGCGGGAAGAACTAAAAGCCATAAATGAAATCGAAAGAAACCCAAAGTATTTCTTTTCCTATGCCAAATGAAAGTCGAGAACAACGTCCAGTATTGGGCCCCTACTTAAACAAGATGGGCCCTACACAGATGACAGCAAGGAAATGAGTGAGCTACTCAAGTCTCACTATGACTCAGTTTTTAGCAAGCCGCTAACCAGACTGAGAGTCGAAGATCAAAATGAATTTTTTATGAGAGAGCCACAGAATTTGGTTAACACAAGCCTATCTGATGTTATCCTGACGCCAAATGACTTGGAACAGGCGATAAATGACATGTCCATGCACTCTGCCCCAGGGCCAAACTCATGGAACTTCGTGTTCATCATCCTATGGAGAGGGAGCATGGACACGGGGGTCGTCCCACAGTTACTAAAAACAACAGACATAGCCCCACTCCACAAAGGGGGCAGTAAAGCAATAGCAAAGAACTACAGACCGATAGCACTAACATCCCACATCATAAAAATCTTTGAAAGGGTCATAAGAAGCAAGATCGCCACCCGTCTAGAAACCCATCAATTACACAACCCAGGGCAACATGGGTTTAGAGCAGGTCGCTCCCGTCTGTCTCAACTATTGGATCACTACGACAAGGTCCTAGATGCAGTAGAAGACAAAAAGAATGCTGATGTGATATATACAGACTTTGCAAAAGCCTTCGACAAGGGTGACCATGGCGTAATAGCGCACAAAATGCGTGCTAGGAATAACAGGAAAAGTTGGTAGATGGATCTATAATTTCCTCACAAACAGAACATAAAGAGTAGTAGTCAACAAAGTAAAGTCCGAGGCGGCTACGGTGAAAAGCTCTGTTCCACAAGGCACAGTACTCGCTCCCATCTTATTTCTCATCCTCATATCTGACATAGACAAGGATGTCAGCCACAGCACCGTGTCTTCCTTTTCAGATGACAACTGATTCTGCATGACAGTGTCTTCCATTGCAGACACTGCAAGGCTCCAGGCGGACATCAACCAAATCTTTCAATGGGCTGCAGAAAACAATATGAAGTTCAACGATGAGAAATTTCAGTTACTCAGATATGGTAAACACGAGGAAATCAAAACTTCATCAGAGTAGAAAACAAATTCTGGCCACAAAATAGAGCGAAAAACCAGCGTCAAAGACCTGGAAGTGATCATGTCGGAGGATCTCACCTTCAAGGACCGTAACATTATATCAATCGCATCTGCTAGAAAAGTGACAGGATGGATAATGAAAACCTTCAAAACCTGGGGATGCCAAGCCCATTGACACTTTTCCCGGGTCACTTGTTCTATCTAGGCTGGAATATTGCTGCACACTACCAGCACCTTTCAAGGCAGGTGAAATTGTTGACCTAGAAAATGTACAGAGAACCTTCACGGCGCGCATAACGGAGATAAAACACCTCAGTTACTGGGAGCGCTTAAAGTTCCTGAACCTGTATTCCCTGGAACGCAGGAGGGAGAGATACATGATTATATACACCTGGAAAATTCTAGAGGGGCTGGTACCGAACTTGCACACGAAAATCATTCACAACGAAAGCAAAAGGCTTGGCAGATTATGCAACATCCCCCAATGAAAAGCAGGGGTGTCATTAGCACGTTAAGAGACAATACAATAAGTGTCAGGGGCCCGAGACTGTTTAACTGCCTCCCAGCATACATAAAGGGGATTACCAATAGACCCTTGGCAGTCTTCAAGCTGGCACTGGACAAGCACCTAAAGTCGGTACCTGACCAGCCGCGCTGTGGCTCGTACATTGGATTGCGGCAGCCAGCAGTAACAGCCTGGTTGATCAAGCTCTGATCCACCAGGAGGCCTGGTCACAGACCGGGCCGCGGGGGGGTTGACCCCCGGAACTCTCTCCAGGTAAACTCCAGGTAATACTGTGTTGTCTCTTAGTGTGGCCCAGTGGCCTGATGGCTAAAGCTCTCGCTTCACACACGGAGGGCCCGGGTTCGATTCCCGGCGGGTGGAAACATTTCGAAACGTTTCCTTACGCCTGCTGTCCTGTTCACCTAGCAGCAAATAGGTACCTGGGTGTTAGTCGACTGGTGTGGGTCGCATCCTGGGGGACAAGATTAAGGACCCCAATGGAAAAAAGTTAGACACTCCTCGATGACGCACTGGCTTTCTTGGGTTATCCGGGTTGGCTAACCCTCCGGGGTTATCTTATCTTATTCGTGGCACTCCTACTTTTCATTTGGGGAATGTTGCATCTCCTGCCGAGTCTTTTCCTTTCGAGGTATGATTTTCGTGTACAAGTTTGCTGCTAATCCCTCTAGAATTTTCCCAATGCATATTATCACGTATCTTTCTCGCCTGCATTCCAGGGAATACAAATCAAGAAACTTCAACCGTTCCCAGTAATTTAGGTATTTTATCGTACTTATGTGTGTCATGAAAGTTCTTTGTACATTCTTCAGGTCAGGAATTTCGCCTGCCTTGAAGGGAACAGTTAGCGTACAGCAGTATTCCAGCTAGAGAGAACAAGCGATTTGATGAGAATCACCATTGGCTTGGCGTTGCTACTTTTGAAGGTTCTCACTATCCATCCTATCATTTTCTAGCAGATGAGGTAGATACATTGGTGTGGTCTTTGCAGGTGAGATCCTCTGACATTATCACATCCAGGTCCTTCACCTTAGTTTCTCGTTCTGTTGTGTTTTTAGAATCTGATGGATGCTCTGATACAATTTTAATTTACACACGTTTTCCGCATCGGAGTAGTTGAAATTTCTCTTCAATGAACTTCATATTGTGTTCTGCGGCCTATTTAAAGATTTGGTTGATGTCCGCTTGGAGACTTGTGATGTCTTCGATGCAGGACACTGTCATGGCAATTCGGGTGTTATCCGCAAAGGAAGACACGGCGCTCTAGCTTACATCTCTGTCTATGTCAGATATGAGGATGAGGAACAGGATGGGGGCGAGTACTGTGCCTTGTGGAACTGAGCTTTTCGCTGTAGTAGCCTCTGACTTTACTGTTTACTATTACTTTTTGTGTTCTATTTATTATGAAGTTAGAGATCCATCAACCTACTTTTTTCTGTTATTCCTTTATCACGCATTTTGTGTGTTATTACACAGTGGTCACACTTGTCAAACATTTTTGCAAAGTATGTGTATACTCAGCTGCTTTTTGTTTGTCCTCTAAAGCATCCAGAACCTTGTCATAGTGGTCCAGTAGTTGAGACAGACACAAGAGATGCTCTAAACCCGTGTTGTCCTGGGTTGTCTAACTGATGGGTATCTAGATGGTTGACAATTTTGCTTCTTAAAACCCTTTCAAAGATTTTTATTATAAGGGATGCTAGCATTGTCGGTCTGTAGTTCTTTGCTATTGCTTTACTGCCACCTTTCTGCAGTTGTGCTATGTCTGTTGTTTTTAGTGAGTGTGGAATGACCCCTGTGTCCATGATCCCTGTCCATAGAATGCTGAAGGCACGTGACAGGGGCTTCCAGCAGCTCCTGAAGAACACGGAGTTCCATGAGTCAGGACCTGGGGCAGAGTGCATGAGCATGTCATTAACTGCTTTTTCAAAGTCTTGTGATGTTAGGATAACATCAGAGATTTCTAAACATGACCGTATTTTGATTTCCGGTCATAAAAAAATTCATATTGACTGTCGACCCTTAGTTCGGTTAAGGGCTCGCTGAACACTGAGTCATATTTTGAATTTAGTATCTCACTCATTTTTTAGCTGTCATCTGTGTAGGTCCCATCTCTTCTAAGCAGAGGTCCAATACTAGATTTTGTTTTCGCCTTTAATTTGGCATAAGGTAAGAAGTATTTTGGGTTTCAATCAATTTCCTTTATGGCTTTAAGTTCTTCCTGAGATTCTTAAGCTTAATTTCAATTTTTACTGTTTCTCTGACCAATACCTCCCTTCGAATTTCAGATATATTGGCTCCCCTCAGCAGCTCTGTGATTCTTCTCCTTTGCCTATATGTGGAGCATCTCTCTTTCTAGTTTACATCTTCTCTTTCTTTTTTCTTAATGGAATGTGCTTTAAGCAGACTTCAAGTGCCACAGTTAATGTTTTTCTAGGCAAAGGATATCTTCCCACCTTGTTTCATTTAGGACATGGTTGACTTGGTTCCAATTTATGCTTTTGTTATTGAAGTTAATTTTGTGAAGACACCCTCATAACTGATCACATTATGTTGGTCAAGAGCCCAGCACATACATGTCTGTACCTCTATTATGTTGTGATCTGAGTGGGAAGTACAGTGTCTGAGGCTGAAGGACGGCTGTTGAAAAGTTACAATTTTATAACTGTAGTGTAGGCATAGGCATGCCTCTGGCAAGACAGTGATGGAGTGAATGGTGATGAAAGTGTTTCTTCTTTTCCCGGGTCAACCTGACTTAGTGGCAAATGGCCGAAGAGTTAATATAATAATAATAATAATAATAATAATAATAAATAATAATAATAATAATAATAATAATAATAATAATAATAATAATAATATATAATAATAATAATAATAATAATATAATAATAATAATAATAATAATAATAATAATAATTATAATAATAATAATAATAATAATAATAATAATTATAATATATAATAATAATAATAATAATAATAATAATAATAATAATAATAATTTAATAATAATAATAATAATAATAATAATAATAATAATAATAATAATAATAATAATAATATATAATAATAATAATTAATAATTTTAATAATAATAAGCATGCTTTGTTAGCTTAATTCTCAGATGTTCCTAAGTTAACACCATTACCCAGGATACTATCTACAACAGTGTTATCTAAGGTATATTACCATCCCCCAGGATACCACATACTACACTGTTATCTAAGGTATACTACCATCCCCCAGAATACCACCTACAACAGTGATGTGTAAGTTATACTACCAACTAGTTTTGTGGACAACTTACCTCAGTGGCGAAGGCCAGTCTCTTACGTTCTCCACCAGAGAGAACAACTTACCTCAGTGGCGAAGGCCAGTCTCTTACGTTCTCCACCAGAGAGAACAACTTACCTCAGTGGCGAAGGCCAGTCTCTTACGTTCTCCACCAGAGAGAACAACTTACCTCAGTGGCGAAGGCCAGTCTCTTACGTTCTCCACCAGAGAGAACAACTTACCTCAGTGGCGAAGGCCAGTCTCTTACGTTCTCCACCAGAGAGAACAACTTACCTCAGTGGCGAAGGCCAGTCTCTTACGTTCTCCACCTGAGAGAGACTTGTCCTGGCCTGGGTTACCAATACGTGTGTTCTGGGACTTCAGCAGACCCAGTTCTTTCATAAGCTCCATAACTCGGGCCATGCGCTGTTTGTGCGTTCGACGACGGTCCATTCTCAAGCGAGTCTAGACAAACACAAGAAGTATGTAGCCAGTAAGAGGGAAATCAGGGAATGAGTTGGGGTGTGAACCCATGGCAATTGAGTCCTAAAATATACAGGCCAGTGCGTTAACTATTGGACTAGCTGGCTCTAATAAGATTCTTTCAACTAGATGTATTTTTATACAACATAGGGAGGTTAGCATGGGACACCACTGTGACGACATATGCTATACTTCTCCAGGTAACAATGTTCATGATCCAACATGTTATACCTCTCCAGGTAACAATGTTCATGATCCAATATGCTATACCTCTCCAGGTAACAATGTTCATGATCCAACATGTTATACCTCTCCAGGTAACAATGTTCATGATCCAATATGCTATACCTCTCCAGGTAACAATGTTCATGATCCAATATGCTATACCTCTCCAGGTAACAATGTTCATGATCCAACATGCTATACCTCTCCAAGTAACAATGTTCAGAAACTTAATTCTTTTCACGAGACTTAGTGAGAGAACTGCACTAACTTGACCTAGAAAAGACATCGCCATTTATTTTCTAAAATCTGGGAAAACAGTGTTTTCAGTTCGTCAATATTGCTGTTTAAAGAGACGATGCTTGTTAAATTTAACAAAAAAATCTTTATTCTGAAAAGTCGGAGGAGTTTGTGTGTATGATAAATAATGCGATACATCTCTCCTTTTTTACGATAATTAGTGTTTTTGTTTAGAATTATTACAATTATTATATCCAGTGTACATGATTCTGAGGAACTAAATGAGATATTTAAAAATATAAATTTCACAAATAATAGACAGCAGCTCATTTTTTTTTAGTGTTGCTGTCTACAGACATAACATATTCTGTGTGTTAAACATTGATCTCAACAGATGGATGAGTTTTTTTAAATAGATTTTCGTCAATTTTTTACAAAACACCCAAAATTTTTAGTGCCCAAGTGTTGCTATCCAGAGACGTAACACTTACGACATCCAGAAGACATTACTACAAGATTTTCTATATGAATGATGAATATATAACAAGATCAACCAAAATCTTTTATATATTTATGATATTTTAATCGAAAATCATTGATCAAACAGAATTTTTAATACTTCAGTCTGTTGTTGCTGCCATCTTGGAAGGCAACACCTGTTGTATCATTAACATATACCAGGGTGTTGCTGCCATCATGGAAGGCAACACCTGTTGTATCATTAACATATACCAGGGTGTTGCTGCCATCATGGAAGGTAACACCTGTTGTATCATTAAGCTCTGTTCCACAAGGCACAGTACTCGCTGCCATCTTGTTTCTCATCCTCATATCTGACATAGACGAGGATGTCAGCCACAGCACCGTGTCTTCCTTTGCAGATGACACCCGAATCTGCATGACAGTGTCTTCCATTGCAGACACTGCAAGGCTCCAGGTGGACATCAACCAAATCTTTCAGTGGGCTGCAGAAAACAATATGAAGTTCAACGATGAGAAATTTCAATTACTCAGATATGGTAAACACGAGGAAATTAAATCTTCATCAGAGTACAAAACAAATTCTGGCCACAAAATAGAGCGAAACACCAACGTCAAAGACCTGGGAGTGATCATGTCGGAGGATCTCACCTTCAAGGACCATAACATTGTATCAATCGCAGCTGCTAGAAAAATGACAGGATGGATAATGAGAACTTTCAAAACTAGGGATGCCAAGCCCATCATGAAACTCTCCAAGTCGCTTGTTCTATCTAGGCTGGAATATTGCTGCACACTAACAGCACCTTTCAAGGCAGGTGAAATTGCTGACCTAGAAAATGTACAGAGAACTTTCACGGCGCGCATAACGGAGATAAAACACCTCAATTACTGGGAGCGCTTGAGGTTTCTGAACCTGTATTCCCTGGAACGCAGGCGGGAGAGATACATGATTACATACACCTGGAAAATCCTAGAGGGACTAGTACTGAGCTTGCACACGAAAATCACTCACAACGAAAGCAAAAGACTCGGCAAACGATGCAACATCTCCCCAATGCAAAGCAGGGGTGTCATTAGCACATTAAGAGACAATACAATAAGTGTCAGGCGCCCAAGACTGTTCAACTGCCTCCCAGCATGCATAAGGGGGATTACCAATAGACCCCTGGCTGTCTTCAAGCAGGCACTGGACAAGCACCTAAAGTCGGTACCTGTCCAGCCGGGCTGTGGCTCGTACGTTGGATTGCGTGCAGCCAGCAGTAACAGCCTGATTGGTCAGGCTCTGATCCACCAGGAGGCCTGGTCACAGACCGGGCCGCGGGGGCGTTGACCCCAGGAACTCTCTCCAGGTAAACTCCAGTTCCTCACATGAGAATAGTGCAGAAGCAGGAGGATCAAGCGCGTATAACAGGAAGGGAACTTCAATGGATCAGAGAATACCTGACAGGGAGGCAACAATGAGTCATGGTACGTGATGAGGTATCACAGTGGGCACCTGTGATGAGCGGGCTCCCACAGGGGTCAGTCCTAAGACCAGTGCTATTTTTGTTATATGTGAATGACATGACGGAAGGGATAGATTGAGAAGTGTCCCTGTTCGCAGATGATGTGAAGTTAATGAGAAGAATTAAATCAGATGAGGATCAGGCAGGTCTCCAAAGAGACCTGAACCGGCTGAACACGTGGTCCAGCAATTGGCTTCTCGAATTCAACCTCCACAAATTCAAAGTCATGAAGATTGGAGAAGGGCAAAGAAGACTGCAGACAGAGTGTATGCTAGGTAGCCAAAAACTGCAAACCTCACTAAGGAGAAAGATCTTGGGGTGAGCATAACACCGAGCACAACTACGGAAACAACATCAACAACCAGATAACTGATGCAGCATTTGGGCGCCTGGCAAACCTGAGATATAGCGTCTCTGATACCTTAGTAAAGAATCGTTCAAGACACTGTACACTGTGTATGTCAGGCCCATACTGGAGTATGCAGCACCAGTTTGGAACCCACACCTGGTCAAGCACGTCAAGAAGTTAGAGAAAGTACAAAGGTTTGCAAGAAGGCTAGTCCCAGAGCATCAAGGGAATGTCGTACGAGGAAAGGTTAAGGGAAATCGGATGACGACACTGGAGGACAGAAGGGTCAGGGGAGACATGATAACGACTTACAAGATACTGCGGGGAATAGACAAGGTGGACAGAGATAGGATGTTCCAGAGAGGGGACACAGGGACAAGGGGTCACAACTGGAACCTGAAGACTCAGACGAGTCACAGGGACGTTAGGAAGTATTTCTTCAGTCATAGAGTTGTCAGCAAGTGGAATAGCCTAGCAAGTGAAGTAGTGGAGGCAGGAACCATACATAGTTTTTAAGAAGAGGTATGACAAAGCTCAGGAAGCAAGAGAGAGAGGATCCAGTAGCGATCAGTGAAGAGGCGGGGCCAGGAGCTGAGTCTCGACCCCTGCAACCACAATTAGGTGAGTACAATTAGGTGAGTACACACATACACACACACACACACACGCACACACACACACACACACATACCATGAGGTGAGATGCTCCTTGACTGTGAGTGAGCCGACGAAGAGGTCATCTTGGTGCACATAACCAGCCAGGGAGGTCATAGAGCGGTTAACTCGTCTGCTGTTGACCAGGATGTCTCCATCTACCACCACTCCGCTGGATGTACGGTGAGCCAGGGCGTTCATCAAGGTAGACTTGCCGGCACCACTGTATAATACAACACAGTCTCTGAGGGTAGACTTCAGCACCGCTGTATAATACAACACAGTCTTGGAAGGTTGGCTTACACACCACACTAGATAACACAACACAGTCTCGGAGGGTTGACTTGCACACCACACTAGATAACACAACACAGTCTCGGAGGGTTGACTTGCACACCACACTAGATAATACAACACTGACCCGGAGGGTTGACTTGCACACCGCACTAGATAATAAAAACACAGTCTCGAAGGGTTGACTTACACACCACACTACATAATACAACACTGACCCGGAGGGTTGACTTGCACACCACACTAGATAACACAACACCGACCCGGAGGGTTGACTTACACACCACACTAGATAACACATCACAGACCCGGAGGGTTGACTTGCACATCACACTAGATAACACATCACAGACCCGGAGGGTTGACTTGCACACCACACTAGATAACACAACACAGTCTCGGAGGGTTGACTTGCACACCACACTAGATAACACAACACAGTCTCGGAGGGTTGACTTGGACACCACACTACATAATACAACACTGACCCGGAGGGTTGACTTGCACACCGCACTAGATAATACAACACAGTCTCGAAGGGTTGACTTACACACCACACTACATAATACAACACTGACCCGGAGGGTTGACTTGCACACCACACTAGATAACACAACACCGACCCGGAGGGTTGACTTACACACCACACTAGATAACACATCACAGACCCGGAGGGTTGACTTGCACATCACACTAGATAACACAACACCGACCCGGAGGGTTGACTTACACACCACACTAGATAATACATCACAGACCCGGAGGGTTGACTTGCACACCACACTAGATAATACATCACAGACCCGGAGGGTTGACTTGCACATCACACTAGATAACACATCACAGACCCGGAGGGTTGACTTACACACCACACTACATAATACAACACTGACCCAGAGGGTTGACTTGCACACCACACTAGATAATACATCACAGACCCGGAGGGTTGACTTGCACACCACTCTAGATAACACAACACAGACCCGGAGGATTGACTTGCACATCACACTAGATAACACAACACAGACCCGGAGGGTTGACTTGCACACCACACTAGATAACACAACACCGACCCGGAGGGTTGACTTACACACCACACTAGATAATACAACACAGTCTCGGAGGGTTGACTTGCACACCGCACTACATAATACAACACAGACCCGGAGGGTTGACTTGCACACCACACTAGATAATACAACACAGTCTCGGAGGGTTGACTTGCACACCGCACT